TTCCTAACACAGTATACAGTATATTCTCATTTTTGGTCATTTCCTTTTTCACATCTCGCATTGGTTTTATATGGGGTTGTCCCGTACGTCACACACATTTCCCATACGTCACATTTCTTAATTTGATTATGTAATCAACACAGAATTTTTGAAATTTTTGTTAAACCTATTTTTTGTTAGGTATTCATCTAAATTAGAACTTCCTAGAATATCTTTAAAAAAAAAAATTATTTTCATAATTAAAATTAAACAAATTATGATCAAATTGTGACGTACGGGACATCACACTTTGGAACCTACCTCATTTGCATAATTAATTAATTTTGAAAGTTTTTATATTTTTTTCCTATTTTCTAGCATGATGGTCTTCATGTCCTGAGATATTTAATTTAAAAAAAATAATTCAAATGAGATACAAAAATACAAATGTAATGTCCCGTACGTCACGCTAATTAATACAAATCGAAGTTCGTGACCTTGGCACTCTTCGTATTTTGATAATTTTTAATTTTTTTAATCAGATTCATAAAATTCATAGTTTCAGCTTTAAAATGAGGTATAGTTTGTTAAATATATATAAAGATGAAATTTGACCCTCAGAGGGGACAATAGCTTGGACCTGCCCAGAGCAAGGGAATTTTGAAGAATGCAGGTAGTTTGCCGACTGAGAAATCTCGCTAAATGGAAATAAAAAAAACAAGAATTATGTCATTGCAACTTGCATAAGACATTTTTAATTATATTATTGTGTTAAGAATGGAATACCTTGATATGTTTGCAAATTAACTTCATAGTACAAGTCTGATGTAATAATAACTTCTTTTTTTTCACTACTCACATCTTTTTTTCTATATCCACCATAAAATCTGCCAAGTTAGCGTCATTTGGACAGTTTAACTGGTTACTGGTCTGTGTTTTTGTTCGAGTTTTTCCCAGGGCTTCTGTTTCAACTTGATTGCACACAATGTATGCTGCACAGGCACTTGTTCAATCTCTCATGGCAAACAGATTTGATCAAGCATCAATTTATCTGCAATCTTTTACAATTAAATCGTACAACATGATTGAACTGTGTTATGGGCCAAACATGGCTGAAATCATTTCCCAACAGCAATTTGTTACATGTTGTAAGTCTTTTCTTCTTTGCGCCGTACAATTCAGCAGCTTACTATTTATTTTTACCTGACACATTTAGGCGATCATGATAATAATGGGACAAGTGAACCATGAATATATACATGTATATACCATATACAAGGGAAAGTTGGTTTTGATCAAAGCAAAAAAATGAGAGAAACAAGTTGGTGAAAGCTTGAGCAATATCCGATGCTTGTTTTCAATCGGTTTCTGCCCAAACTTTCACTAACCTGTTTCTCTCATTTTCCTGCTTCCATTAAAACCAATTAAATATCAGGGTGGAATTTCCCCCTTTACCTGAATCATTCATACTCCCTGTACATTTTATGTTGTTATTTAACCTCAAACAAGTTTCCGTTTGTAGGCCGTTAAAAAAAATCTGAAAAATATAAAACATTCATTTGACAAAAGGGAAAGCAAAAATTCAAGTATTTTAGACTTTTCATTAATCCCACATCAAGAATTTGAAATCTCCTTGATAATAGAAACAATTGAATGATTTGAATCAACATTGTATGCCTTTTAAAATAAAACTTTTACAAAATATTTTCCAAGATGCCAATGGCTTTCCGTAATTGTTAAGTTTAACTCGGAGATACATGTAAGTTCAAATTAGGATCTTTGTGAAACACCCCCATGTGCATATAACCGTACACTGTTACAAGTACAGCAGGATCTTAAAGGCACACTGCCATACTTGTAGCTACTTGTTCCCTCTATATAGAAAACTTCCCCAATCGGTGCCTGCTGGTCCCCCATGATCCTCTTTTTCTTATGTTAAATGAGAGCTGAGTTAATGAGATAGCCACCTGTCACAGTGACCTCGATGGCTCTCTGTGTGGTCTAGTCCCTTCTAGCCCAGTAGTGGTGACGGTCTTTAAACGGATTGGGAAATCTTCAATTGTGCAATGTCCTCTTTTATTCCTTACATCCTAAAGCATTTCCTAATCGCATCGAGTGACATGACTGAGCGCTGAACATCTACAGTATTAAGCAAGTCATGATATAATTGACATGTTTATAAACAGGAAGACATGATGCCGTCCTGAACACATGGTTTCTGTTGATGTGAATCCTGTTCAGTTGACTTCATCCCCCTGGAAGTTTTTGACTTTAATTACTAAGACTGAATCATGCTATTGCGTAATACCAAGATACCGCTGCGTCATCGCTTGATGTGTTGGCAATTTGAGGCGTGGGCATTGTGACAAATTAAAAACTGGATTATTCAATTCATACCCCTTGTAAATTTGATGTTTTTCGTATATTTCATAACTCAAGAATGAAAGGTGGATTGGTTGAATTTGGGCCTTTGTTGAATACTTCTTACTTTTAAGCTTCAATATATCACATCCTCAAGAAATATAAATCAGGACAAATCCATTTTTCACATACCGGGGTACTTAAAAAAATACAAAACTTGGTAAAGGGTGTGAATAATTTAGTTGTTGTATGCCAATTTTGGTTATCAAGAAATATTGAGAGAAGTGTTGAAAGTATTGAACACAAAGGGAAGAGTGAAAACATGCACAGATATCATGGAGTAGGGAATAATATGTTTGAAGAAAGGAGAGGTAATGAAATATGATGAGAAGGGAAGAAATTATTAAAAAAAATTGTCCTAAACTTGTAAGAAAGTTACATAATGATATTTCCAAACAAAAATGATCACTACATCCTGTAACTGTCACGTATAGAATACAGGCGATTGAAAAACTACATTGTGCACGGATATTGAAGTTAAGCTAAATTTAATGTCATGATCACAGCATTGAAATGAATATCAAGCCTTCAGAAAGGCCCTCTCAATAATTGCATGATGTTGAAAGGCCATCCAGAAATACCAGCGTATTATAAACAAAGTCAGCTGATTGTTAGTCAGCTGTGCTTGGCTTGCCCGATAGGGAGAAGAGCCACATTTCGCAATTCACATGGCCTGTCGATTCCTTTGTTGATGTGGGTTACAGCAAGCAGGCAAACCCCCTCTGGAAGTTAATGACGTAACGATCTATGCACAGGAAAGGCTAAATTACGCAGTGATGTCAAATGCGACATGGATTGCAGAGCCTGCATTTTAGAGTCTAAATCTGGATTAAACCTCTTTTTCCTTGTAAGAATATGCTGTAGGTCGTACAATAACAATGCAGGGTCAACAAACTTTGCATGTTATCAACCTGGGCCTTATATTTACAAGTCAAAAGATTTTAGATTTGGACTGTAGTCTTCTTTGATACTGTAGTTTTTGAGAAAGACAAAACCCCATTGTATTTTAACAAGATACAATTTACAAATAGGCCAACATGCACATGTACTATGTAGACATATTTTTAAGTGCAAATTCTCTGGATGAAAATGATTTTCAAAATAAGAAGGTCTTTTAGGCCAGACAGTTGGCCATGTTATCTTTATATGTTTGATTTTGTATGATTAAAAGATTGCCCAGTAGGAAATTCCCTTTCCTCCTTATCTTAGTCAGCTAATTTATATCTAAATGTACATATAATTTGCATACAAGTACATGATCACAAAGAATTTGGAGAGTGTCTTTAAAAAATGCCACAAACTATATGTACATGTACAATTTTCGCACTGAGGTGTATGGGCATTTGTTATAGCAATACATTTGTTGTATAGCCATGATTTAATCCCTTTGAAAAGTAGGGATCCATGTCATGATTTAAATTCTGGCTGAAGTACCTGTGCATGTAGTTGTGTAATCTGTTTCTTTATTGTCTTTAGTTTATAAATATTTAATACAACATCTTATAAATTGGACAAGTGACAAGTTGCTTTGTATTCAAACAATATATGAGCTGTTAACATTATGTAACTACTTGGTTATAACAAAATTAAAAACATTTGTATACTGCGACACACAGTTTCGAAGTTTTAGTTACTAGAATGTTCTCCAGAGGGGTGATAGCAAGTAGAGGGAATAGCCTGTCCATAGTCCATGCACAGTACATGTGTATGTACTGTATCTGTACACCAATGCATTCTTATACATATTTTACCATGTGATCCTTCAGTGTGTACGGCTGTGTGTTTTTTGCCATCTGTGAGCTGTGTGTGTGTGTGCAGATTACGTGCAATCTAGGCACATTGAATTCATACACACTCTTTTGCACTGCAGCAGCTATACATGCATTTGCCCTTCAGATGACCTACAGCCAAACAGCTGTGGAATGCTTTGGCCTTTCAGTTGCTGTACAGCTGAAGTTCAAAGGTCAAATCAGACTGGTCTTTTTTTTTCTTATTGAGAGAGAGAGAGATGTCCCTTTATCTAAACAGTGATCTTGTATTTGTTTAGTCTGCACTATTAGAAGGCCAAGATTGTTATCTTTCTCCAGAAGTGGAATTTTGGTAGAGACAAAATTTGACCCGAAATGCACTCTGCATGGGCATTCTTGTGTCCAAAAGGGGGTAATAAAACTTGCAAAAAGTTGGCATATTTTGGACAGGGGGGATGAATAAATCAAATTTTGTTGGTTCTCTGAAATACTTGTATGGCAGTCCTAAATGATAAATAACTTTGCAAAACCTTAAACTTTCTTGTATGGCCTTTTAGAGGATCTGCCCAACAACAACATTTTTTAAATATGTTTGTATTGTAGATGGTGGTGTTTGTGTTTGTTTAGGGGAGGGGGGGGGGGAACTGAAAAAATGAAGAATTTGCTTGGTTAACCTTTCAAAAGTTGTATCCAAGGAAAGCAGGTCATGAACTATACACTTTGTACACATTTGCAATTTTGTACTCAACTGTGATAAAAATGAAATAAACTTTCTCAAATTTGTATTTATATCACATGCCTGTATTTTTGACTAATTATCTCTCTCTTTTTGCTTTTTTTTCTTTCTTGCAGATAAACTGGTTATTTGTTATTTTCAAGCTGTATCAATGAGCGAAATACCCAGATGATAACGACAGAAACATTCTAGAGACCGATAAACAGGTATGTTTTTTTTTTTTTTAATTTTTTTTTTACTAATCAATAAAAAAACAATATACATGTAACCCACAATGGTTGCTGTACACGTATACAGTGAAGCTAATAACAAGGTTTTAAATTACCAGTTTCCCTGTGCCATAGACCACTGCAACATCAACAATAACAAATAAAAATTAAACATGCCTTATTTTGCATGGTAAGTACTAAGTATAAAATCTCACTATTATTTGTTTGTGTGATGAAATCTTGTGCAATTCTCTGCTTAGATCTGTTCTCAATGTTTATTTTCCTCCATTTTTATGAAATAATAATGAATCAAGCTGGTAGGCATTTAAGTATAGGGGTTTTCCCCCAAATTGTATTTTCTTAAGATAATAAAACAGATTTGGCCATATGCGATACGTCTTCATGCACAAATTTAATAAAAAAATTACGAAAGACCATTTTTGATATTCTAGATTTCATGTAAATTGACGTAAATGGATAAGGGAGAATTGAAATGCAATTATTTGTCAGCTTCGGGTAAATCAAGCAATTGACAGCCAGTACAGTATGATTAATGTCCGGCCTGATTTTTTTATCATTCTTTATTTTGTGAGAAATCAATGTTGACGTGTCGTTTCCTTCCCGCTACAAGCCCGATATAAATAACTTCAGTTTTCAATTAAGGAAACTCAAACTAGGGGATTTCCCAAATTTGTTTCAAATCAGGATATACGTGTTCCCCATATGCGTGAAATTCATTAAAAAAAACATGGGGGTCAAAGCAGCAACAACAACGAGAGAAAGAAAGAAAAAAATTATAACATTTCAGGATTATAGAAAATTTTAGTGAATTCTAATGATAAAAAATAGATATTAAATAGGAAAATTAAATCATTGATTCAAAATCACATGAAACCATTTGTGAAAATGTTCAACATGTACATCCATATTTTTTTTTTTTCAGACATAAAGACCTTAATCTTTTGAAGATGATATGAACATTTGTCTGCATGAGGTTAAAAAAAATGACAATACTTTTATAGAACTCGTAAAAAAAACAAATTATTATTGTTACTTCAATGGATGCCTGGATCGATGAACGATACCTTGGCCTTGTTATTGTTCTAATTAAACTCTTTCCATCCTTGCTTATCGCCCTCAATGTTGATGCTAGATAGTTTAGATACATGTACTCGTTCCCACCAACTCCCTTGCTCGATGAGCTTCCAATATCTGCTCTGAGAACTTGTCCAGGTGTTCCTATTCTTTCTCCTTCATCCAACCAACATATGGCTTTGCCACGACAACACATTTTATTGGAAAAACAGGGAAAACCCACCCAAAATATTTCCTTTTCATTGTAAATTTCTGTATCCATAGTTTCATCGATTGATACAAAAAATTCCCACGGTGTGTTATGCTTATAGCTGTGTGCGCTTGATGCCGGTGGCAAAATGTAATTTGGAAGTCGTTCTTTGAGTATGTGTTTAATAGTGTACTTGTTGCAAAGGAACCCTTCATTTCTTTGTATCCATTTTTGAATAGGATGCATTTTTCTGATCTGACATTGTAATAAATGTATTGTACCTGTATTGTAGCTAATGACTGACTCATGATAACACTTGTAGACTCCCCCCCCCCCCCTCTCTCTCTCTCCTCTCCCTTTTTTTAATCGCAGCTTAGATTGAACTCTGGATCACACATGGCGTAGCAAAGGGGGGGGGGGATAAATAAAATCATGAGTTAAAGTTTGTGACATTTTCATAGCTGACAAGTGCCAATAACTTCTAATTCTATTTTGGCAGAATAATTCTTCCTTTTTTTTGGAGCCCTTTAGCTATTAAATGCTATGAATCCTAGATTCCTCTCTTTTCCGAAAAACTTCTCAGGAAAAAGTTTACAAAATGACTGTATTCCTGCTTTTGCCACAAGGGATTCCTAATTTTTGCTTTGGCAGGTATGCATTTTGTGAGAACCTTTGCAGATCTGGTTGCTTGTAATCAACCCTTATGATACATCATACATGTAGATCAATGACGCTAGCATGTGTTGGCATTGGATCATTTCAATGTCACGTTGCTTACTCTCGGTCACGAGAAATAGCTGCGCATATAGGAGACGACCGAGACGTGTAAATAAAGGAAGTACATACGTTTTGAGAATGTAAACACAGACCCTCAAAATACGCCATCACGATGGACGGGTGGGTGACGATCGCGGGGGAACAAACTATTAGGTCGCTCCCTCTGACTGGGTCGAGATGACCACCCCTGTCTGGAGAATGGAGATGCCCAAGAAGGATGTAGGGCTCTCTCCTCATATAGTCATATTATGATGCCTTGTCTCTTGCTTCTTAAATATCATCATCAGAGATGCTTTCGGGGTTTTTGGTTTCTAATGGGAAAGATATTTTCAAATAAATGTAGGGGGAAAGGGAGTGTTAGCCTATTTAATCTCAACTTTCTGCGTCAAGTCAGCTGAAAGACTAGACATTGGTGTAATTTGAATAAATTGATAAAATGGATGTTGCTCAAAATGTGTTTTTCTAGCGGTTGTATCAAAGTTACATCTAAAGCATGTACATTTTGTGCTTATTTTATGTCAATTCTGAAATCTCTACATGATTGCCTTCATCATAGAATATGTAGAGAGACTTTCTACCATCGAGTGCAACGAACTTCCAAGTGATTGAAAGGGGGGAGGGGGATTAGTCTGGTATTTGTAAGGGAGTTTGAACTCGCCCCTCCTGGGGGTTGAATTTCCCCATGCCCAGTGCTATTCCACCACCCTCGATCCCCTAAGGGCACCCCCTTCCACTCGACCCTAACCCCCAATCTAATGTACTTGGTATTGATCTGCCCAGAGGGAGTGCGAGCAGTGTGTGTGACTGCCCGATCGGACTGTCTAGCTCTGTATTATGACTGGTGTTTACAACCGTTGGGCCCCCCTATGCAAAGAACATGAGCCAACTCCTGTGTGTGTATATTTCCTCATGTACATGTACTTGTACATTACAAATGTACATTTTCACTATGTGTGTTGCATTCATGACAGGCAGAGACATGTACATGTGAAATGATTGTCTGCTATTAATGAGAGGGAGAAAGAGAAGGAGAGAGAGAGAGAGAGAGTGAGCGAGCGAGTGAGTAGAACCAAAGTCCATGAAAGGTTCAAAATACATGATATTAAGATTACTATTTATAGGGCCGACTTGTCCTGTGTGTATGAAAATACATGTTTGAAGTTTTTGTCTGATTTGCAAATGATCTTGATTCGTTAATCACGTGCACAGAATAATTGATAGTTTTACTTTCATTTGTGTTAGCGTGGTTTTTCACTTGTACGGTGCTGCTGTCGCTTGTAATTACATCGCAAAAACGCAAGGTACACGTACACTAAACAAGTTTATTAGAGGAAGTTGAATCTTTCCTTCGAAGTGACTGTAATCTCAATTTTATTATTTGATGACTGCTCAGAACTTGAAAAGAAATATTCAGAACGCTGTTAGTTTAGTTTAGGCATTTTGTCTCGCATGTTTAATAAATAATCAAGAGAAACAAATTTTGTTTTCCTTCATGGAATAATTTCTTTTTACATTTCAATCGCAACAAAGTCAGTGGAAATTGTGTATCTTTATTTCCCTCACCAGTCAGACATTCAATGTTTACTGGAGTGATTGATGTCATTAATGCTAGAGATAAGTGGGGTTATATTTAGACGTGTCTTGACGCATTTACCGGCACTCAAACGCAAACGAGTGGGCCGTGATGCTATTTCTGTGTTATTGTTTGGGGAGTAGGTCGTAATTATTGTGGGACAAGCAACACATGTGATGTTTTTATTATAAAACAAACAAGGAAAAATCCCTTCTTTCTTTTGGGTCAATACTTGGTGACGTTGAGTGTGCACTGTGCAGTTTGCTTGAAGGATTTGAGCTAGCAAGTTACGGATACCAGTCGCAAGTTTTTAAACTCCCAAGAGAGGAAATATCGTGATCGGATGTTATTAACCTAGTTGGGTAGCTTTTCTGACGTTGACATCGCCAGGTCATGTGATCTTTCTGGCCCGGTGGGATGAAAGGAAGAGACCGATCCAGATGTGTATCAGGTCCTTGTTGTGTCTGTTAGTGTTGACTAGTAAGGGGATTAGCTAATTTGGTTTATTGGATTAACTCTGGCTGGGCCCACCCCCCAGGGAGGGGATTAACCATTTAGAGCTGTCAGTCGGAACTACCCTGGTTTCTGACAGCCAGACTGCAGTGGGACTTTTTAACCCTCGCCAGAAGAGAATTCAAACTGAAACATTGTTACGGTCTGATGCTGCTGCAGTGAATGATCCCCACTCTCTGTAGCCCTACCGGCCGATTTGGTTTATCTAATATTGAGAGAGAGTAAGGTCTGCACTCTGTTGCCCTACTGGCCGATTTGAGTTCATCTGATGAGATAGAGAAAGAGAGAGAGAGCGAGCGGAGTTACACTAAAGTGTTAACAACGACAGGCTCATCGCTAATCCAATTTGTAGCCAAGCTTAATATGACCTTCACTCGAGCACTGGGAAAGGGCATTGAGAACCATACAGCATACGGGCGGTGGTGGCGGGAGCTAACCCCAACGACAGACAGACAGACAGACAATCGGAGTGCTCCTAGTTAGCTAGTGTGCTTGCTCTCAAGCTCTCACAGAGCTTGAGCTATTATATCGGACTGGACATAAACATCGGCCTGCCTGCACGCCCACTCTCTATCTATCTCTCCCCCGCTCTCTTTTCCCCTCCAGCTTTTCATCACAGAATGTAAAGAGCATTGGATGTATAGGGGGAGATCTGTGTATCTGCTCGGCTGTAGCACACTCAACGCCGGCTGGCAGGGACCGACCGACCGATCAAGTGTTTGTCGTGGCCTGCATTTGCAGGTTATTGTGGCATATACAATGGATGCAAGCTGGTAATTGGATTCTATAGTCGTCATTAGGAAATAATCACTCTCACCCTGCGGATTGAATCGAGGATCAGATTTTCATGGATATTTA